ACAAATGTGACTTTTGCTTTGACTTCCTATGCAGCCCAGATAAATACATTTCTGCTTCTTACTATGTAGTCTGTGGCTTGATTACAATATAGATCTGACAAGTTCTATTGCCCTGAAGACCTAAAATGATCAAGGATCCTTAAATTTTAAAACAAAGTTGAACCTTATCCTTTATCTTGAATTGCCCTTGGCTATGTCAAGGCATTTTCCACTCAAGGAAAAGAACCCTTAAAAATTCAGAGCCCTTCTTGCAAGTCTATAAGAATAAACTAATTTTTCAAAAAGCTTCACCTTGTTCTATTGCTCATTATCCACTAGTTCTTGGTTTAAACACATCAAACTTTTTTTAAATAAAACTTTTTTAAAAATAAAACTTTTAATAAAGGATGCACATTTATAATGAAAGAAGCAAAGCCATTTCCTGATCTAATTTATCAACTCACTAGATATTTCAGTCAAGAGATTGTGAATGATTCCCAGACTCTCAAAAGATATGCAGTTAGAAATTATTTGATAACTCATCTGAGACTTATTTAAATTCTTCAGATCAAGCAGAGCTACCACATTTTCAAACTTCCTTTCCAAACTTTCACACAGGAGCTAATGGAAAACATAATACAGCCTAAAGAAGAATACTGATTCACAGTGCAATCCTATACATGCCTGAACAGAACGTAAGTCACACAGAGTTCATTATTACTGGCTCCCAGGTAGCCGTGTCCAGGACTGCAGACTAAGAATGCAATACTACATATACTTATCTGTAAAGTAAGCTTTGCTGAATTGAATGGGACTTTTGAATAGAACAAACTGTGCTGCAAGATTCCTAATACATATGAGTAATCTACTGGCTCTTTCAATTGTCTATTTTAAGTAAAATCTTCTTAATTTTTCTGTTTAAGCATAGGCCTTGACATTAAGTACATAAACAAGTCATATGAAGGACTTTAGAATAGTCACAAGTTAGGAAGGGATTTGCAGAGAGAGAAAATTAAATATGTGGAAACTTTAAAGTGCTGCTGGGACAAGGGAGTTACAAGTGCTTTCCACACTGTAATTGTGAACTGGCTAATATAGCAAGACAGCCAAGTTAATTAACCTTCAAACATATTTTAATGGGTATCAGTGATACAGTAAATTACAGTTCCTGCTGCATAGAACATCATCTTCAGTCATCTGTTGGCATTATTGGGCTCATGTATGTGTAGCAGTAACAGATTACATAAAAGCACTGGAACCTGGAACTCAATAATAGCTTAATATTGAAGTACTGAACATACATGCATTAGTGAAGTTTCTAAAATTCTTACTAAAAGGAATACATCATTTGAATAACATATTAGATGAACGTGGCTACAGACATTTTACAGCATACACACTTTTGCAGAGCTGAACCCATAACATCTCTCATTAAGCCAAGAAAACCAAACCATTTGAAAGTACACAGAAAAGAAGCAACTTTTATCAATGTAGTAGCACAAAAGGATTTACACAGTTCTTGCTTGTTCTCAGAGTCACAATGTGAATTGCTGGCTTGCCCATATTCAGCAAGCCCACGCCTAAGACTAAATACAAAATAAGGTGTTTCAAGTCTAACGGCTATTCAAATAGTTCATTCCTGCTATATCATTCTGAGGAAAAAATCATAAACACACTTCTCTGGAACTAAACAGAGCTTCTTCTGAACAAACATGACACTGTAAATACCTAGGGTGAACAGGAATGGGATGTGACCTACAAGCCAGTCTCTTTGAGACACCCAAGGGTGAACTGTGGAATGGGGGGTAGAGGGCGTGATTAAAATCATACTTAAATCATGAAAGTGATGCCATTTATGATTAGCTTCATTTTATTAAACAATGCTGTTTCAAAAAGAGTTATCAATACCACCAATCGAATCAATAGCATAAAATTAACAGCATGTGGTATCCCCAGCTATAAATAATCAATCAATTGCGATTTCTCAGCTGGTCTCCCAAAGTTATATTAGTGAAAAAATCAAAGTAGCTGTCAGTGTAAATACTTCTATATAGCAATTACATTACTGCAAGGCAAGCACAAGGAGTCTTAAAACTTCCTTCCTGCCTGCCTTGCTTGCAAAGCCATAGAAACTGATCACAGGCTTAGGACTAAGCGAAGGAAAGCCAGTATCATTCAGTGTTATAGATCCATAGCTCTGTAAGGTTTAGAACCAGAGTAGCCAATAGACTACTTTCTCCTGTATGAGTCAGCCCCACTTGGGATAATCTATGGAGGCCCTTGTCAATCCTAAAATGAAATCCTAAAATGAAACGACTGGGCTTGGACAAGGGAAAGGGCCTTCTTTGTTACTGCACCCAGACTTTGGAACTGCTTCCCCTAGGGAAGTGATTGTTTTGCCACTGCATGAAAACCATCCAATTTAAGTAAGCCTTTGACCTTTAAAAGGCTGGATATTATTGCCTGTTTAGTATACTTAGATTTAATACTTCATTTTAACTATGGCTTTTATTATATTCTATAATTTTATTGCAGTATTTCATTCATTTTATTGCTGGCTTTTATTTTTGTTTATTTTATTCTATTTTCTATTGCTCTGAGCAAACACTTCTTCCTTTCAAGACAAAGGCATTGCTATTAGGCTGGCTTTGAACCAGATGAACAACCAAAACTTGGGTTACTGACTTTTAAAAGATGTCATGCAATTGTCAAAGTACACATGCATCATACAGGAATATATATAACTTTGTGAAGATTGACAGAAGCTGCTTAAAAATATTTCAGGCTTTAAGGGAAAGCTCTCTGGAACACGCAACAAGAGATAAGTCATACACTACAATGAAGAAAAAAGCTGGCACACATGGATCAGTACCATTGCCAGCACAAAAGGCTGTGCTGGGATGAGGGAAAGCACTGCAGTACAGCAACCCAGAATATATGTTGTGTCTGTGTGTAAGGAGAGAAGATAGATGGTGCTCCCATATTACTCCCACTAGCACACAGGAGATCATCAGTGTCAAAGCTGACACTGGGGAGCCAAGGTTCCATTTGGATGCCAGGAAGCACTTCCTGACAGTCAGGACCCCGAGGGTGCAGAATGGGCTTCCATGAGAGGTGGTTGAGGCCCCATCGGTGCAGGTGTTCAAGGATAGGTTGGATGTCCACATGGTGGGCATGTCGTGAGCGGAGCCGGCTGGTGCCGGAGGTCAGACTAGATGGCCCAGGAGACCCCTTCTGACTCACTCTGTTTCTATCTTTCTATGTTACTAAGGCAGAGCAACCTGGCATATTCTCCCCCACCTTAGTGTTTGCTTTCAGCAGAGCTGTGTCTCATAAGCAAAATACAGGAGTAACACACCATGCCAAGGCATTAACTTTTAGAGAGTAAATGTCTAACCCTATGTGTGTTTTGTCAGAAAAAAGTCCTACAACTCCCAGCATACCCCAGCAATGCTGGAAGTTGTATGTTTTCCCCCCTAAACCTGCATAGTATTGCACCCATCACTTGTTAAGATGATATCAATTTCAATTTTAAAAAGAGTGAAAGGGAAAATAAGGATTGAAAGTAGAAGCAGAATTTATATACCATGCTACACAAATCACTTATTTCCCATATGTTTTTGACAACCACACTCACTTTACTTTAGTGAGTGACCCATTTCATCAACTCTTTGGAACAAGAAAGAAACGTTAGGAAAAGTGCATTTTATGCTCATTAATATTACTTTGTTAGTTTTGACATTCCCTGAAAGAAAAGCAGCAGTGAAGACAATGACTGTATTTACTCCACAAAATACTGCAAACTTTAAAAGAAATGCACTAATTCAGCTCAGAAGTCCATCGTGTTTTTGTTTTGGTCAAACCAGAATTAAAGAAAGTGCACAGTGCCCTTGTGGAATTATTCAATGTCCTTGTGATCTGGCAAAAAAATGAAGCAGATGACTAATGTATGAGAATTTTTATTCATGATATCTGAAAGTTAGCATGCTAAGAGATGTTTTTAAAACTCTGAAGTCTTGTTTCATTCCACACAAGTATGCACACTCATTTCTCTGCAGCTATTTTTTAAACCATATAAGACACAATACCCTTTCTAACTCCAACATAAAACAGTGCTAAAATCACTCAAATAGAACTAAAACACATTATCAAACCTGATACATAAAACAGTTTATTTTACCCTTTCTGCAAAGGCCAACAGCTCTCAGAATGCCCCAACTTGTCTTCACAATTAATGCACAAGATTGTCCAAATACCCTCCTGAACTAACCCAATTAAAATAGAAAGGAAAAGCAGATATCCAAACAGAAAAAGATTCTTAACTATAATCAAGTTGTGCAATCTTATTCTCCATCAGAAATCACACCCCATATTTATCATTCCTAGAACTTTTCACTCCTGCTTCTTGTCTCACAAGTTCACAATTTTGCATGTGAACCTTTATGTGAAGGCAGTATCCTGGCTTTAGAAGAAAACAAAAACCAGTGAAGTAGTTATTGCCTGCCAAATTTACAAGGTCTTCAAGAGCAGTATCAAGAGAGTCTTCAATGACTGAAATGGACTGAACACCCCCCTCTTTTTTGTTATTTCCTGTTTTTTTTTTTTAAGCAATAACAGATTGCAATGTGACCTCTTGACCCAAAACAAAATCAAGAATCAAATAAGTGAACTGTACCCAGAAACAAGCCTATTTCAATTCGTTGCAATAACCCAAGAGGGACTTACAAAAAAGTAAAGAAAACCTCAAGAATTCAAGACCATGGGTTTGCTGGCAAACACAATGTCCCTGGAGGCTTTCAAAAGAAGACCGAACAGAGGAAGAGCAAAGTTTATTGGGCAAAAGACGAGAATGCTAAGACTGACGAAGACATGACCCCTTCCCACAGAGAAGCCCCCAAGGACTGGAGTCCCTTTCCGGGGAGCGCCAGGGAATCATCATCATCATCATCATCACCATCACCATCATCACCTCCTCCTCCTCTCTCGAGCATCACTTGCTGGTTACTGGCTGCTATCCGTACCTTGATACGCTCCCGACACTGAGAGGGCGTCCGCTCGTAGCCCAGCTCGGCCAGGGCCCGGGAGACGCGCTCGTACATGGCAGGCCCGGGGGCCTTGCTGCCGAATACGGTGCCGGCGCCCTCCAACTGCTGGTACCGCGCCTCCACTAGTCGCTCATTGCCCCACACAGCGATGAGCGCGTTGGTCTCGGCCGGCGTCCACGACATGCCCCGGCAGGCGGCCGCCGTGGCGGTGCCTCCGGGGGAAAAAGAGACGGAGGGGGAAGCCCCGCCACGGCCCCCGGTGCCGCTGCCGCCGCCTCCTGAGCCAGCCCCAGCCCCCGCCGAGGTCGCCGCGGCCACGGAGCCCGGCCCGGTGGGACCTAACGGGGAGGCGCCGCTGGGCGTGGAAGGGTCGGAGAGGCTGGGGTTGCCGTCGCTCAGCGCTCCAGGCGAGCCAGGAGACAGCACCTCCATCTTGGGGATCTTCAGCGGCGGCTCGGCGGCGGGGAGCTGTGAGGAGCCACAGGGCGCCGCCATATTGGAGCTGCGGAGCCGAGCGGGCGGAAGTGACGAAGAGACCCCAGCGGGCGGGGCTTCCGCCAGGCAACGACGGCCTGAATGGAAAGCGGGAGAACAGGGGAGCGGAGGGAGCGCTTGCCGCAGCCGGAAGCGCGCACGCGCGCGGGAGGCTCCCCCCCCCCCCCGCTCTGAGGGGACGTCGTGGCTCTCGCGAGCGCCTTCCTTCGCCAGGAGGTCGCCGGCTGCTGGAGACGCCGCGCTGGGGCTCCGACGTGCAGAGCTCGAGCAAAGCCGCTCCCGCGGTCGACAGTTCTTTCCACCACCCCCTCCTTGGACTGCGGCCAGGAAACCTCCTCGGAGTTATAGTATAAGTTTAACTGAAGGCGCAATCCTAAACTTTTAGAAGGAAAAAAGCCTACAACTCTCATCATGCTGGGACTGAAACCCCTGTTTTACTGTCGAAGCCTGCATAGGATTGCACCCCTAATTAATCACAGTTCGGTATCACCCAACAGCTGAATCTCTGGCTGATTCAGAGCAGAGCAATATAGCAGGAATGACAGCCCACGTGAAGATTTGGGTTCTCGGTTTGGTTGCACTCTTCAGCTTGCCCTTAACCTGATGCCCGGGTCTCAGTCTGCCATTGTCTTCTGTTTGGTGGCGGCAGGCTCATGTCTGCTGGAGAAACCCACACACCACCCATTTCTTGAAGCAAGTGGTCCAAGGCCAGTCAGCTATGGGGCACCGTGTCCCACATCCGGTCTAGCTCGTTGCTCGCATGTAGGAACCCCGTGCCAGTCCCACTTAAGATTAGTTCAATTGGTTGCCGCAGGCGGAGAATGAATGAACCGGGAATTTTGCCTACTGTCATACCAGGGAAGGGCTAATGTTGAGTGTTGGCTCATGGTGTGGGGCCCGATCTCTTCAATTCTTTTGAGGAGTTCCTTGGTGCTGTGTTCCTCTCCATGGAGGACTCGCCGTAGGGTACCTTGGCAGCTATTGTGTATGGAGAGGGTGGGTACAAGTTAGCTGCAGCAGGAGCCATACCACTGTGATAGGAGTTTCTTCTAGGCTTTGCAGCCACACACAAAGTAATGGCTTTGCAGCCACACACAAAGTAATGCCCCACATTTTCCTCTCCCGTTACTGAACCATCCCTTGCAGGGGGCAGAATTGTCAAGGGGATGAGGTTCATGGGGGCAGGTGGAGGTCACCCAAGGGACACCTGACAACATCAAGGGCAGGGCTGTGGACTTTTCTTTGGGCGGGATGAATTTGCCACCCAGGAGTTGGTGGGGGCTTAGAACATTTGGAATCCAGGGACAAAGGTCCTGTTTCTGTGTGGCCTTCCAGGTATCTTCCTGCAACCTGCCCCCCGACCAACCTCTGCCAAAATGGGAGAACCAGGTGCATTCTAACCTGTCCATGAACTGGTCAACAGCAAAGTCCATAGACGGGCTCTGGGTGAGGCAATAGTCTGGCACTGCCCATTCAACATCCCAGTGGCTCTTTTTTCTGGTTTTCCCATTGCTTTGGGAGGATCTTGGAGGAAGCCAGTAGAAGGGCCGTCAGGGATACCACCCTGAAAGGGAAAGTCTTTCCTCCAGCATCTGAGGGATGCAGGCAGGTTCAACCCCTGGTCAAGTTAAAGCTTTTCTGGATCTGCTGTATTAGGAGGGTTAAGGTGTCGTGTCCTTGCTCCATGAGTTCCTCCCTAGCGCCTCCCAGTAGATTTCTGCTCCTGTCCTGGAGACAGACAGCAGAAGGGATATGTTCAGCCCAATCCCATTACTCCGGCCTCTCCCCCAGGCAGTAGTTCAACCTGTTTCCAGTTCTGGCCCAGAGATCTTCTGGACTCTGCTTTACTCACGTCCCCATTCTCACACAGGAGATGCTCATTAAGACAGTCCAGTTTGCTGCACACATTTCCTGACTTCCCAGATCTGGCTCATGTTCACCACAGTGGGTGGGATGTGGCCAAAGAAAGGTTCCATGTACTCTCTGATCTCTTGCTCTGCCTTGCATGGTCCTCATAGCGCAAAACTTTACCCACACTCCCTCTTGTCCCTGAGTGAGTGCCGTCTTTAGCTGGACTCAGACTTGTCTGAATTCAGACAGTGATCTTGTGAAGCTACACAAACACACCAGGAAACACTCTTTCCCATCTCTGAGGTTAGAATCTCACACCCCCTTGGCTTCAGCTTGGCTCAGCGATCAGCTGATGGTCCTGATTAGGGAATATCAGCAATATTTGGCCGTATTGCTGGTGGAAACTGATTCCTTGTTCATAAGGGATGAGGCAGCCTCAGAAAATAGGAATAGTTACAGATTTGGCAATTTATTTATTTATTTTTGGATTTATATCCTGCCTTTTTCCTACAAAGGGCTCAAGACAGCTTACATCTCCTCCTCCATCTTATCCCCACAACAACAACCCTGTGAGGTAGGTTGGGCTGAGAGTCTGTGACTGCCCAAAGTCACCCAGTTGGCTCCATGGCTGAGCGGGGACTCGAACCCAGGTCGTCTGAGTCCCAGTGCCATGCTCTTAACCACTACGCCACAGCTACATGTATTTACATAAATAACGTTTAAAACCTGAACTTCATATGGGATGAAAAATCTTCCTCCAAGTTGGAAAGTCTCAGCTAATTTCTATCGAAACATTCAGCCTGGGCATTGCAATGACAATTTTATAGCCTCAGAATCTAAAACAAGGATCTTTAATCCTACTCAGAGACCAAGTCAGAAGGGAAAATGATACAATTTCTGGACAGAGAAGAAAGTTTGGATTTTGTATTTTTTTTTCTTTGTAGCTGACGCATGAGGCACATTACTCTTTAACGGGGTCTTTCTTTTCAAAACAATGTACAAACACTTGGCCTTTCTGGCACAAGATTCCTTTGAGCGTTTGTCCAAGCCTTGGCCACAGGGGACTCACCCTGTTCGGGGAATTCTCTTGTCCTGTAGCCAAAGGCAGACCCAATCCAACTCTGAAAGGCACTTGCACTCTGCACATGCTCAAGAGCCACATGTGGTGTTTCTACAAATCACACAAGTACTGATTTTTTCCTTTTCTTAAGGCATCTTTTTTATTCCCAGCAGTATGAACTAACTACAGTATTTCCTGGGTTTGGGGTTGGCCATTTCTGACCTCCAGAAAACCCTGTAGTTCCATTCGACACCCCCCCCCCCAGTTTTTTTCTTTCGACAACCATTCAAACCCACAATTGCCAGCCCTTCCAAAAATCTTAAACATTTCCATCACCACAGCACCCAAGCAGACTCAGTCTTGCAACCACATGCTCCATGGATCTGTGCCCCCTGCACGTTCTAGCCAAATCCTCCACTCCATTGCCTTGATATTATCCAAACTCCAGAGTTTGGTAGAAGCCATCCATCTCCAGAAACCTTCACAATTTCAGCAAATCAGTTCCAGCAAATGACAAGCAGCTCCCTTCTTGTTGGAGAAGCTTTCCAGGTCCGTCCGTCCAGCCGTCCGTCCATCTGTCCGTCCTTCCCCTGCAGCAAACACTTCAGCTCAGTTACCTCTAAATTGAAATTGTCACAATTTGTCATTCTTCTGTTGTTAACTGAATCCCAACACACTACTAGATGCTCAGGCTCTTTTTAACCCTTAAGTCACTTGCTAATTCTTGGGTGAAAATGTGGCTTTTCTTTGTAAATGAACCTCCACCGCCTTCTGAATTCAGTCCTTATCCTGCATAGCCATTACAGGAACTGGTGTAGGAATGTAGTCCAGTAGGAATAGATAGGCCTCTCCTCCCACGCCGAGTTCAACCAGGGGATCGGTGGGAGGTACCTTTACTGGTTCTTATTAGTCCATGGTGGCCATCTCTCCTCCATGGCAGCCATCGTCCCATGTGGCTTCCCTCTGGCCAGACCGGGGCTGCCCACTCAGGGCACTCATTCTTCCAAAGTCCTTTTCTTTTTACAAAGAGCATGCTGGCCCCTCTCCAATGGTCTTTCTTTTCTCCAATCCTCCTTTTAGCTCACACCTCCCTCCTACTGGGGAGTTTCAACACCACCCCCTGCCGCTCCACAGTGGGCACCTGCCCCCCCCCATAAGTGCCATCATTTGCATTCTGTTGCCTTCTCTCCACCTTCTTTTCTCCTTTTTCCTGCTTGCACTCAACGGGCAATTTTAACCAGCTTATGAGTGACTCGGCCAGCCCATCTTCAATTTTTTGCAACTTGCGTCTTATCTCATCCACATGCTGTCCCATAAAACAAGGGGTCGTCTGCATTTGCAGCCGCTCCCCCTCTCCCCCAGCAGCCACTCATAGGGGACACCTCTGAGGGTCTTGCTGTTGAAGAGAAGTCCCATGGAGAGCCTCCTCTTGGAGAAGGTCCAAACTGTTCTGCAGACCTCAGTGTAGCGATGACTCTGCTGTGTTAAATCTCTGGAGCTGAAAGCTTTCCGGAGCAATCTGTGCTCACATCGTGGGACCTCGGGAATTCTAACAAGTGATCAGAGTGGCTTATTGTGGAAACAATCGTAGATGAAGGATCTATTGGCTAGATTAGGCATCAGAAGAGCACTTTCAATTGCATGCGAGTGTTAAATTGAGGGGAGTTTATCTGCTTGTTGTCTTGGAGCTTGAACAGTTTTTACTACTGTCTGTAGACTCCCCATCTCCGGCACCACTTGGAACATCATGGCGGGGTCAGGACTTACTTTCTACTCACTGAACTCCCTTTGCCTGATCATACTCGGGTGCGACCATTCCTTGTTGCCATAGAAGTTGGCAGGCAGGGTTTTAATTTCACCCCATCAGTGCTTTTCCTATGTGTGTGAAGCTTCTGAGATAAATCATATGGAGCTTTGGAATATGGCATCATCAAAGGGCTGCTGATGTTGAGCCCTGTGTTTTGCAAGCTTCCAGAAGTTGCTGTATTTGTCCTTAATAAATACTTGGAAGCACTTGCCAAATGAAAGAGTCCAAACAGATGGAACTGGAACCATGGCTCTATAAAGAAAATGCTGATGGGAAACACTAG